TGACGTTCCCTCTGCGCACGAACTACATGTACGCCAAAGTGAAGCGCAGCCTGCCCGAGATGTACGCCCTCACCGTGTCTGCATGTGGCTCAAGTCCAACGCGTCTCCGGGAGTGGGCACCCCGCTGTCCTACGCCGTGCCCGGGCAGGCCAACGAGCTGGTGCTCATCGAGTGGGGCAACAATCCAATGGAGCTGCTCATCAATGACAAGGTGAGAGAGTGAAGTCCAAAAGAATCTTGTTTTCTTGTGAGTTTTAAACCATGTTAGAATGTTGTTGCCTCCTCAGAAACAGACCTGGACCTGTGTTTTGTCCTTTATTATTAGTCTGTCTACATCTCCAAACCTTAAAATGCTTTGCTTCACCTTGTGATGTCATGTAGTGGTAGTTTTTACGTTAACAGCAGACATTTTTATCTTTTGTTTAGTGGAATCCCGAAAATGATCCAAAAGATCCTAGTGATTCTAGTCCCTGTTCTGCTACTGAGTCAGATCTGTGGTTTAGTCTGGTTTAGTTCTGGTTTAATCCTGGGTTAATTCTGGTTTAGATCTGGTTTAGTTCTGGTTTAGTCCTGGTTTAGTCCTGATTTAATCCTTGGTTAATTCTGGTTTAGTTATGGTGTAGTCCTGGTTTAATTCTGGTTTAGTTCTAGTGTAGTCCTGGTTTAGTCCCGGTTTAGTTCTGGTTTAGTCCTGGTTTAATCTTGGTTTAGTTCTGGTTTAGTCCTGGTTTAATCTTGGTTTAGTTCTGGTTTAGTCCTGGTTTAATCCTGGGTTAATTCTGGTTTAGATCTGGTTTAGTTCTGGTTTAATCTTGGTTTAGTTCTGGTTTAATCCTGGGTTAATTCTGATTTAGTTCTGGTTTAGTCCTGATTTAATCCTGGGTTAATTCTGGTTTAGATCTGGTTTAGTTCTGGTTTAATCGTGGTTTAGTTCTGGTGTAGTCCTGGTTTAATCTTGATTTAGTCCTGGTTTAGTCCTGCTTTAGTTCTGGTTTAGTCCTGGTTTAGTTCTGGTTTAGTCCTGATTTAATCCTGGGTTAATTCTAATTTAGATCTGATTTAGTCCTGGTTTAATCTTGGTTTAGTTCTGATTTTGTTCTGGTTTAGTCCTGGTTTAGTTCTGTTTAGTCCTGGTTTAATCTTGGTTTAGTTCTGGTTTAGTCCTGATTTAGTCCTGGTTTAGTCCTGCTTTAGTTCTGGTTTAGTCCTGGTTTAGTTCTGGTTTAGTCCTGATTTAATCCTGGGTTAATTCTAATTTAGATCTGATTTAGTCCTGGTTTAATCTTGGTTTAGTTCTGATTTTGTTCTGGTTTAGTCCTGGTTTAGTTCTGTTTAGTCCTGGTTTAATCTTGGTTTAGTTCTGATTATTCTGTTTAGTCCTGGTTTAATCTTGGTTTAGTTCTGATTTTGTTCTGGTTTAGTCCTGGTGTAGTATCATCTTTTCTTTTACCTTTTGTTCAATAGATATTGTCGATTTCGTGGCTTAAATGATCCACATGATTCTAGTGAAGGTGTATGGAGTTTAAAAACCCAGTGGAGCACTTTCTGTATTACCACATGACAACACACTTGAGACTTGAGAGAACTCAGCCTAAATCTGCAGGGTCGGTGTGTTAAACATGTGTGAATGAAACAAAACACAACTCCGGGTCTGTTTGTGATGAGGAAACAACACAACACAGATCAGAAAATAGTCTAATATTGGCCCTTTAATAGAAACAACAACACCTGCTTCTTTACGTCAGAGTCTTCGTCATCACAATAAGAGTTGCTCTGCCAAACCTCCAGCTCCTCCTGCGTGAGCTGCACTGAACCAAAGTGAGCAGCACATTTTTCTTCACTGTTGCCAAAATGTCAAAACGACGACACTGAATCCTTTGTGTAGTTACAGTCATGAATATGAAGCACGATTATTATTATTACTGACATTTTCTTCCCCCTTTCCACCAAATGTTCTGCAGAGAGACTAGAGAACTGCAGAAAACTGTCCAAATAAAAACAAAATTAAAGTTGTAGTGCAGTAAATGGGAAGCTCCTTATGGATAAAACATGGCACAGAGGTCTCCAGGATGAATAGCTGGTCACCAAGGTCAATTAAAATACAATCAATCAATGAAACTGCCCAGGGACTGCAGATGGAAATTAACTCTGCTGCTACAACCTGGTACAAAGCACCTCTCCTGTTAAGGTTAATGAAGATTGTGCGCTGTCCCTGTCTCGTTAAATAAATAAATGAAACTACCGTATTTTTCACACTATAGGGCGCACTCATAAACCTCCAACCACATCAAAAAAGACCACAATCCAGAGCGCCCTATACACGAATCCACTCAGGTGTCCCAGCACGACTTCAGTAAACTACAAACACGCACGGAGCAGACAGCGAAAAACACCCACAGCCACACTCATCACTCCACACGGACGAGGAACGGAACGGACGAAAGAACCGAAAAAGCGAGCGCAATGTGCCACTTCTAGCCACGACTGAACAACTGAGTCACTGCGAACACGCCGACAATCCAGCGGTCCCAGACAGCACCCTCCCTACACGCCACAACTGAACCAAGCCCAGAGTCACCGTGAACGCGCCAAACAAAGTCCCACTGACCCATCCAACTGTTGTGTTTCGTTTAATGCGGCTTATAGTCCGGTTTATTTGTGAAAAAAGTTCAAAAATAGACCATTTAATGTAGGGCCGGGTATCATTAAGAAGTTGACGATACGATACATACCTCGATACACAGGTCACGATACGATATATACCTCGATACTAGGGATGGGCATGATTAATCGATAATTGATCATTAAGAATTTCATCGATTACGTTAATTTTAATCGACAAACCGAATGTAGGTTGCTGTGCGTAGCGTGACCAAACAGGGGTCATACATGTGTCTCTTTCTGTACTCAGAAGGAGCGAGACACAAACAGTCGGTCAGTCTGCAGCGTACCGAAGCACAAATGTGTATTTAACGATGATTTGTACAAGAAATTCCACACTTTCCGTTGCGTTCGGGACAAGTGTGAGTCCATGTGCACAGTGGATAAAGCAGCACATATGTTTCGGTGTCCAGTGGGAAAAAGTTTTACCAGGTGAGAGTCGCGCAATGTCGATGACGAGTCCCACCTCCACCCCCCGTACGGTGTCCTGGTTTTGACAAATGCAAATATGGTCACACTAACCTGTATTCCACTGAGTCATGTCTTTTAATCCAACAGAAGTTGACCGCATCAGCGACACAAGAGCTAAAGTTTTATCTTCGCTGAGTTTATGCAAATTAGCGATGCGGTTTTAAGTTTCTTTTCTGTGAGAGTTGCGCAAAACTGAATTAAACACATAATAATGTCAAACGGGCTGATGTGGCTCTAGAGTCGTTATGTTTATATGTCGTAAAGTTGAATTTATTTATGCAGATTAGTGCAGATAGTAATAATAATGATGATCATTTTAATATAAAAACGTTAATGATTAATCGATAATCGATCGTTAATTCTTCCGACGATCGATTAAGAAAATTTCATCGAGTGCCCATCCCTACTCGATACAGTGCACTTTCGATTCGATATGATATTTTCAAATTGATTCGATACGGTTCAATAAAAAAATAAAGGCTAAATCGTGGCTGTGATACTAAAAGTCTTTGTTAAATCACTTCTTGTGCAAAGTTCATATGAAACAAACGTTTTAATCATCAAAACAGTAAAAATGTCAAATGTGTTGCATAAATGAGTTTCCTTTCACTCCACAAGCAACAAAACTGTAGCTCTGTAACAAAATAATTTACTAAAAAACACCTAAAAAAACTCTTGGTGATATATCGATACAGCAGCCCACGATATTGATACTGTATCATCACATTAAACGATACGATATATCAATATTCCGATATTTTTGCACACCCCTAATTTAATGCACCTTATAATCCAGAGCGCCTAAATAAAAATAACGGTAAAGTGTATTTTTGTTGTGGACAGTAAACAGAAACAGTATAAAAGTAGAAATAATAGTAGGAATAATAGTGATAATAATAACAGTAATAATAATTAATAAAAAGAAATGCCTTTAGGGTTATGTTTTTTGAGATTGTGACATATGGTGAAAGATGATGAGGGGAACTGATGATGGTGAAAATAAATATTAGTTTGAGTATAGGGACTAATACATTTAAAAAATTATAATAAAAAAAAAAAAAAAAAAGGGAAGGAAGAGAGACAAAAGGAACTTCAATTATAAATTGGCCGCAGTGTATCAATGTTCGGGAGCCTAGCGGTGTATTTATGTTGCACTATCACATTTATATTGTTTTGACTTTGTGTTGGTGTGGGCGGTTGGGGGGAAATGGGGGGGCTTTTTTGTATTTGTTGTGGTGTTGTGGTTGTTGCTTTATGTTTTTGTTTTTATGTTGAATATTGCAATTGTTAAACGTTGATGTTTGTTTTGTTTTTTTGAATGTTATGTTCTGCTGTCTTTAATAAAAAAAAAAAAAAAAAAAAAAAAAAAAAAAAAAACAGTATAAAAGTGAAGAGCAGTTACAACAACTCTGTGCTGAGAGGTGATCGTGTTTAACACAGTGACCATTGAAACACATCTGTCTCCATTTTATGAATGAAACAAATAACCCTAACAGTTCTGTGGCTGCGTTAAACATGTGGCTGATGTGGGACAAAAGACAAGATTTGCACATTACTTTTCATTTGACGTCACTGATTTCAGAACTCTTTGCTTTTCTCTTCTCCGTGAGTCACATGAAGGAAGAGCTCGTCACTTTTAAGCTCTTGCTCCTGTGAGTGCTCTGAGCCAATTCAATTTCCAATGAAAGAAAGTGGAGGAAATAAAAATCAAATTTTCTTCCAAAACAAATCGATTTAAACTAAAAATGTGATTAGTCGATTTTTTCCCTTCCCTCACTCACATCAAAAGATACTGAGAACTCGTCTTTTAACTTCATACTTCATGTTGTTTCCCAGGTGGCCAAACTGCCCTTCCTGATCAACGACGGGAAGTGGCACCACATCTGCGTGACCTGGACCACCCGCGACGGAGTGTGGGAGGCCTTCCAGGACGGAGTGAAGAGAGGGAGCGGGGAGAACCTGGCCCCCTACCACCCCATCAAACCCCAGGGCCTCCTCATCCTGGGCCAGGAGCAGGTGAGGACGGGACACTGCTTCACAACGAGTTCAACCAGGACAGTATAATATATCAGACGCGTCATTACACAGGTTTTACCAAGTCCTTTTTTTGTTTCTACTGTGGAAATTTACTATTTACAATCTAAAAACTCAACTCTAAATGACATGTTTATAATTTATCAGTCGTTGTGAGTTATTTATTTTAAATTGATACTTTTTCTTTTTCCAAGGGCCTTATTTTGCCTTATTTAATTTTAATATCACAGTACTTGACATCTATATTGCTTATTTGACTTTGTTCATTATTGTGCAGCCTTAATTTACCATTTACCAAGGTTTCAAAGCAAGGGCACAAAGGCAGAGAAGTGAGGCACAGTGAATGTCTAGGACTCTATAAAGGTATATTATGTAACTTTTCCAGTGGGGGTGGGTGGGAGTTTACCATGTTATTGCTTTAGTGAAATATTCCACAGTTTGGTATTTACTTATAAATACTTATCTAACATGTATTTATACTGTATTAAAACTGTGGAACTTTCTGGGTGAAGCAATAACATCTTCATGGAAACAAGCAGGCAGCAGATCCTCCACCAGAAAGGTTACGTAATGCACCTTTAATTGGAAAATATTTCAGTTTGAACCCATGTTTTAGTATCAGAGAGAAAGAGAGAGATACTTTATTGATCTCAAGGGGAAACATACTGCACTTCTCAGTCGCCTTTACGTCTCAATCAAATGTCCACGAGCCGTTTAAAGGTTGTATGGAGGATTTTTTTTTGTTTCAAGTTGTCAATGATAGCATTATAGAGATGCAGTAGCCTTGTAATTATGATGACCAAAAAAAAGAGAATAAAAATTCATCAACTCTGGACGTGGTGGGGCTAAACATTTGCCAATAGATAACGACACTGCCTCGTTATCTGTTAGCTGACAGGCTGTCAATCAATCTCCCTACGTTTCTAGCGTAACTGACTTGCCTGCGCCGCCGGTACGTGGTTTACGTACGCCTGTCACGCAGTCCACAGACGCAAGACGCACAGACGCTGTTTACTCCACCAACGCAACAGTTCTTAGCGGCTTTTTTTGACCTATATCTTCCTCGCAGTTAGCACAAAGTTTGTTGCAATGGCAGACAAGAATCCAGGAGCAGTTCGCCGCAAAAGAAAGTCCGTTTTTGAGATTGCTGAAAGAAGAAGACAAGGGGAAAAGCAGCGACGCCAAACTAAGGTGATTCTTATAGATTCATTCCAGCGATGGCGCGACTGAAGCAGACGCAGGGTCTAAAGACTGACGCACTGGTCCACAAATTACTCCTGGACAGGTCACTTCTGCTTATTATGAAAACGTACTTTATTTCCAAGAGCTTAGTCAAACGTTTTTTCAGGACACGAAAGCGATATCCTATGTCTGAAAACGTCATTTTCAATGCAAAGAAAGAGTCCGCTTGCTGCTGCGTGTTGTAGCTAGTTCATTCGCACGGAATCTCCGCGCAACCTTCTCTGCACCCCTTTCCTACTCCTGTCCCCGCTGCCCGATCCGCTCTTCACCCTGCTCCTCACTTCTCTGGGCACGGAATCTCCGCGCACCGCTCCCCTCTCCTCTCTCCTCTCCTCTCTCCTCTCTCCTCTCTCCTCTCCCTGCTCCCTGCTCCTCGCTTCTTGTCTGTGCACGAAATGTCCGCGCACCCGCTCCCCCCGCTCCTCACTTCTCCGTCTTGCCTAACCAACACTGTAGTTAGTTGTTTACAAGTCATGTGCAGCACCGGCTGTAAACAAACCTGTTTCTGGCGTAAGGAGGAGGAGGGAGGAGGCGTTTCTACGTAGGAGCTGTAGGGGAGGGGGGGTGGTTTCACGCATGCGCAACATTTGAAAAAGGACAAACAGTCGCTGGATTTCTCGTTCCTTGGAAAATCCTCTATACAACCTTTAAGTAGAGATGCATCAATACGATACGAAACTAGGGTTAGGGTATCATTAAGAAGTTGTCAATACAATACATACCTCGATACATAGGCCACGATACGATACATATCTCGATACAGTGCACTTTCGATTCAATATGATATTTTTCAATATGACTCATTAAAAACTAAAGGCTAAATCATGGCTGTGATACTAAAAGTCTTTGTTAAACCATTTCTTGTGCAAAGTTCATATGAATTTTAATAATCAAAACAGTGAATATGTCAAATGTATTGCATAAATGAGTTTCTTTCCACTAAACAAGCAACAAAACTGTAGCACTGTAATGAAATAATTGAGTAAAATATAAAAAAATATATACTATTGGTGATATAGCGATATAGCGACCGCAAACAGTCCCCCCGTCCCGTACACCGCGCGGACAGTCCTTCCTTCCAAGTACGTCGTGCTGCCTGCGCAACAAAACCAGAACTCAACCAGAACTAAACCAGGACTAAACCAAGTCTAAAAACAGCTCAAAAACTAGGACTAAAACAGGATTTAGCCAGGATTTAACCATGCCGCCGGATCGCCCACCGCGCCTCTTCTCATACGCAGCCCAATTTCTTCCGCTTCTCTGTGTTTGATAGAGTTTAAAGGTTGTATAGAGGATTTTTTAAGGGAAGAGAAATACAGCCACAGTCCTTCTTCAAATGTTGTGCATGCCTGACACCATCTTCCTCCTCCACAGCTCCTCAGTAGAAACATCTCCTCCTGCCTCCTGACTCTAGAAATCACGTGCGTGTTCAGAATTACTCTTGAAGTGACCTGTGTAGAAAGAATTTAGTGACTGACACATCAGTTTTTAGGCCCTTCGGCTGCTTCAGTCACGCCATTACTGGAAGGAATCTCCAAGAATCACCCCAGTTTGGTTTTGCTCCTTTTCCCCTTCTCTTCATCTTTCAGCGACCTCAAAAACTGACTTTCTTTTGCGACAAACTGGTCGTGGATTCTCGTCCGCAATCGCAACAAACTTTGTGCGAATTGCGTAAAAGCTACAGCCTCTAAGAACCGCTGAATAAACCATGTAATCCCAGCGCGCCGATGAGTCAATTACACTAGAAACATAGGGAGTTTGATTGACAGCCTAACAGCCAATAGAAAATGAGGGAGCCTCGTTTTCTATTGGCTGATGTTTATCTGGCTTCACTACGTCCACAGTTGATGGATTTTCATTCTTTTTTTTTTTGGTCATTATAATTACAAAGCTGCTGTGTCTCTGTAATGGTATTTTAAACTTTCATTGACAGTTTGAAACAAAAAAAAAAATCCTCCATACAACCTTTAAGAAAGCAAAGGTTCCCATCATGCGGGACTTGTGGGCGGGCGCGGGAGAAAATATTGCAGATGCGGGCGGGAGCGGGACTGAAAATTACAATTCTTTACGGGAGCCGGGGACTCAAAATTCTGTCCCACGCAGACCTCTACCGTCAAATGCTTTCTCAGTATAGTATAGCGTTAAACCTTTCTATTTACATGGAGACTAAACCAGACCAAGTTACAGGTCAGATCTGTGGAGAGGTGACCCTGCAGTGTCTTGGCTGAGACTTTTATTGTTCAATCATTGCACTTCACATGATAACACATTAGGTATAGCTGTACAGATGAAATCACGAGCACTATCACACGCCTGATTTATTGTACCTCACCTTCATTTCAACATTTAATTAGATAAAGACTATTACAACATCAAAATCCATCAACCGTCCCAGCAAACTGACTGTGAATTAAATCACAGCGTCTATCTAACCATAATAAAGCAGATAAATGACGCTAGCACTGATTAAACCCATTTCTCTCCGCTACAGGACATGCTGGGTGGGGGTTTCGACGCCACCCAGGCTTTTGTGGGCGACCTGGCCAACCTGCACATCTGGGACCGCAAGTTAACCGTGGGCGAGATCTACAACCTGGCCACCTGCAGCAGCAAGGCCCAGATCGGCAACGTCTTCGCCTGGATGGAGACCAGCCTGGACATCTACGGCGGCGCCTCCAAGTGGACATTCGAAGCGTGCCGCCAGCTCAACTAAAACCCACACGGAGGACGAGAATTGAGATGATTTTTTTGCCCGTTTTCGCTGCTATCGCTACGACGAAGCAGTAAAACTCGAGATCCAGGTTGAAAACTGGATTTGGACGAGAGAGGTCGCTTAGCTTGACGGGTTTTGACGGGATTTGAAGTTGCGTAGAGGTGTTTTTGGCGCGCGTCGGGTAGTTCGGATTGGTTTGGGATCCGTACGAAGCGCGGTAAGGACTGCAGCGGACTATTCGGACATTACAGCGAAGCAAGGAGTTTGATTTTGACGATTTTAGAGGTCAACGGAAAGACTTTGAAGGATCTACAAACTGTTTCGAATGCTCGGTTTTGGCACTGTGATAGATGGAACGGAGGGTTTTGTGGCAGGAGCACGATTTCAGCACCAAAATGGACCATGTTGTGAACTCTTCTCACTATTCTTTTCTCAGCCACCACCTGCTTGATGTGATTTTGGGTAAAAAAAAAAAATCTAAAATAAAATGTGTAAAAGAAGATAGATCTATTGCCAACGTTTGAGCCTGAGTGCCTTGGGCTGTTTGAATCTCAGCACATTTTTTATCATTTGCTTTGTTTTGTGTAACTTGCTTTTCGGAGTTTGTTGTAGAGGTGGGCGGTGTTGACGGAAATACAAATACCGATTGATATTTTGGATAATTCAGATAACTGGACAACATTTCGATAACTATCAGGAAGTGCGAAAAAGCCATGCTAAAAGGTTCAATAGTATGCCAACTTGTTTTCATGTTATAATGTTGTTTACTCATCAAAACATACTTGAGTTTGGCTTTATTTTCATATGTTTGATTGATCTAGATCAGATATTTGTCAAACTCAAATTCACTGACATCTGACAATTTCAACAGCATCTGCATGTTTTCTCTTCTTTCGAGATATGTAATGTTAAACCTTTTCTTATTAAAATAAATGTTTAATAATAGTTTTGCTTAAACACTGAATCCAGAACAAGCACAATGTAAAATAATAACAAAATTTTAAATAAATAATGTCTCTATAGCTGATCTGTAGCCAGTGTCAGCTCTAATACATACTTTATAATGATCTCGTGGGCCAAATACAATTATATCGCGGGCCAAATTTGGTCCCCGGGCCTGAATTTGACATGTCTGACCTAGATGTAAACTCCTCCATGTTTTTAAAATCCATTCACTTTCACCAGACTCATTACGATCGTTTCAATCCTCAAATTGCCTTCACTATGCAGTTACCAGGTGCAAATTTGATTCAATATTCACTCTGGGGTGTGTTCTTGCGCCTCCTGCTGATGGTTTATATGTAAATAAATTTATATGGACAGTAAATTTACTTTTTCTGCATATAGTATACTTTAATGTTGAATCTACATCCAACACAGACTAGTTTTTAAAGGCATATTATTGGACCTTTAAAGTATTGCTCAAAAGTTCATTGTTGAAAACATCTTTTGAACTTACAAATGTTTGATTGGCTTTACAATTAGTGCCCATTGTTAAAGTGGACATATATTTTTGGCCTTCTTTGATTTTTAAACAAGCTTTTGGTAACGTCTATGTTTGGAAATCACAAGAGGCTCTATTCACACTTGCATCACAAACCAGGTAGGCATTTGGAAAGATGCGATTACAACATCCCAGGCACAGTTTTCATCATCTAAATGTCACTGTAGCGTTCTGTTATGTTCGGCAAATCAACAATTACAACCATACCTCAGTTTTCATCGTTTCCACACTGACACACAACTCCGAGCGCACTGGTACATGCGATTAGAAGAGATGAGGGCTCCAAATTCAAGATTATTCCAAACCGCAATACGTACGCAGTCTTTATTTTACTGCTGATCACATTTATTTCACTTCACTGGGTTTTATCACAGTTGGCTTTAATAGATCCATGTTAGGCGAGCCCAGCGTCAGGAACTGCACCGGAAATTTGTCATCGCATCTTTCCAAACGCCTTCCTGATTTGTGACGTAAGTGCGAATAGAGCCTATTTAAAAAGCAAGTTCCCGTTTCCAAGCTTTTTGTTTTGTGTTAGAGCTCCCTCCGCTGGCATTAATCGGGATGAATCATGAAAAAAGCCATTTAGCGATAGAAACATCAAGCAACAGGACTTGTTAATCTATCCATGCGTTTGTCGTGAAAGCCATTGTAGCATAGAAATCCTTAGAACAAGTCTGCTGATGGTTTATGGGCTTACAACTGCGCAGAAGTGTTTAAAGTTCTATCTATGACGTAACAATTTGGGAACATTTAAAACAGTGATTTCTAAGGCTCAGGGAATGCCAAACCAATCAGGATTTTAAAAAAGCAAGCAAACTACAACTCTAGGTATGTTTTTGACGACTAAACAATATGACAAAGCTAAAAAGTCCATTTCAGTTTGTTCCCTTTAAAATTTTGCCAAGAAGAATTTTGATTGAACTCGAAACTGCGATATCGCCCACCTCTAATTTCTCTGTGACCCGGTGAACTGGTGATTGGTGCATTTTGCAGATGAGAATGTTCTGTGTACAGTTTAACAGCATGTCTTAACTGTGTAAATGGCGCGCTGGCCTCCTCTGCTTCGACCCCTCATGTTTTCTATGGATTCTACTCTTAGAGGCTTTAAGCATGGCAACACCCACAGACGAGAAAGTTCTAGTTTTTGTAATAAATTGTGATACTTGAATCATAAAAGCGTGAATTTATTCTTGACGCGATGACGCAAATGTTATACAAGGAGTTTGGAAGGAACACAGTGAAAGTTTTTGGAATTTGGGTCTTGGATGTTAAAATTTCAGACTTGATTTCCATCTTTTTTAGACAGTACAATGTGATTTTCAACATTAAATCGTAGTACTTTATTTTATATTACAATGTGGTCTTATATCTGTGTAATACTTCAGTGGTCCAGGTAGGTTTGATTGTGGTTCATGGGCGTATACTAGTCTATGTGCTCTTATACTTGTTCTGATACAGCTCAAGATCATTCGAAAACTATTCAGGAAAGGTTCATTTTGTCCTGAGAATGTGACTTTTTTGGTATCGATTCCTGCTCAAGTGAGTATCTAGTTTCGATACTGGTTTTAGTATTGATTAGTATCTGATTTTTGGTACTTTTGACGATCCTAGATTCTTTTTTAAGGCTGGATCGAGTCAGGGGGAAAATTATTTGACTTCAATTTTCAGAGCCTAATACATATAAAATGTCCGAAAGCTTTAACTTCAAAGATAAAGTAGTAACTGGCTAAATTAAAGCAAAAATATCACTATCATAATTGTATAGTCCTATGTTTCTACACTCACCTATGGTCATGACCGAAAGGACGAGATCACGGATACAAGTGGTCGAAATGAGTTTCCTTTGCAAGCTGGGCGCTCCCTTAGAGATAAGGTGAGGAGTTCAGTCACACGGGAGGAGCTCGGAGTAGAGTTGCTGCTCCTCCATGTCGAGAGGAGCAGCTGGGGTGGCTTGGGCATCTTTTCCAGATGCCTCCTTGGCGCCTCCCTCGGGAGATGTCCTGGGCATGTCCCGCCGGGAGGAGGCCCCACACTGGAGGGACTATGTCTCTCACCTGGCCTGGGAACGCCTCAGTGTCCCCCCAGAGGAGCTGGAGGAAGTGTCTGGGGTGAAGGAAGTTTGGTAGTCCCTGCTTAGACTGCTGCCCCCGTGACCTGGTCCAGGATAAGTGGAAGAAAATGGATAATTGTATACTCATTTCAACCATTCAAATTTAAATTTTTACTTCAGAAATTTTACTTACAAGTGACTGCCAAAAAGCAAACAAAAAAAAAAGTTAAATTTCCAAATCTATTTCTCACTTGGGCTTTTTTGTGATTCAGAAAAAGGTTTTAGTAATAATGGTCTTAGGGATGTAAGATGTATCAGCGGTTGATGTCAATATTCAGTATTTATTTTTACCAAAGTGAGGATTTCATTTGTGATCTTTCCTTCAACTTAAGATAAATTTATGCTATGGATTTTAAAAGGTAAATATTGGTATCAGTTCATATCGGTTATCGCCACAACAGCAGGCCAAAGATCGGGGACCAGTATCGGCTCCAAAAGTCCATAAAATTGATGTGACACTAAGGACTTATGATCATGAAAACTATTTTTGTACCAAAGTTGGCAGATTCAATACAGCTGGGCCAGAGAAATCATTCCACCGTTAAAACATTTATTTAACCTTTACCAACTTGAACAATGGCAGATATAAAATTGTATTAACCTTTCATATTTTTCCAAAAGATGAAACATGCAGTCTAAAATCAATACAGACTCCAATTTTAAACTTCAGAAATATCGCCAGGGCTGGAACTCGTCTGGACCAAGACAAATATTTGGGTTAACTTCCCATATGTTTGTGTTGAGTTTTGTTTTTTGTCATCATCCAATAACCGGGCCTGTCAGGATAACAAATTGTTCCTGAGATAACCTGCAATAAATGGAGTCATAGAAGCCATAAAAGTCACAAATTCAACCTTCTACAGCTCAAAACTTATTGTAACTAAAAAAAATCATGCAAAGAAAATTCAAAGATGATAAAACTCGAGATCCAAAAAATATTTTGTTACACCTACATAGTAATTATCATGACAGGCCGACTTATAACATATTAAAATAGGTTAATACTCCAGCTAGACCAAGATTCTGGATTGATTGATGGATTGGTCTGCATCTCATTCCTATTTCCTCACTTCTTTTTCCTTGATTCCTCTCCTCCATTCTGTAGGAAATGAAGTGAGGAAGTCCCTCCCGTCCACAGAGGAGACACAGGGAGGATCGAGGATATAAACTTCTCACTGAGACCAATAAAATTTGATTATTTTATCTGACGTTTGCCTCCTGAAGCCTCGCTCAGGTTCACTCCGTCCTTCTGTGGTTCTCTTTAAGATGGCGCTTAATATGATGCATTTGACTGACAGCAGAAAATGGGAGATTGAGGAGAGGAAACAAGGAGAAGGAAGCGAGGAAAGAGAATTGAGACACGGCCCTGGAGACAAGGACACCCCC